TGGCAGAATTTGGAGAGGATTGTAAATCCGCCAGTTTGTCTAGATCTGGTGAGAGGATACTGTGTCCATGGCCAAAAAATGCCATGGCCCAAGTCATGATTTACAGATCAAATACCTAATAACTTGACTGGATTATGGGTGAGAGGGAAGCAGTACTGACACTGAGGCACATATGAGCTCACATACATGCCTTCCTTAGTTTGACTGCTATAACAAGATACCATAGACTGGGTGGCTTAAAAAGCAGAATCTTATTTCCCGCGGTTCTGGAGGCTGGATGTCCAAGATCAGAGTGCTTGAGTGGTTGGGTTCTGGTGAGAGCCCTCTTCCTGGTTTGCAGATGTCTGCCTATTTGCTGTGTCCTCACATGGTAGGAACAGGAGATATCATCTCTCTCATGTTTCTTCATGTAAGAGTACTAATCCCGTTTATGAGGGCCCCACACTCATCACTCAATTACTTCCCAAAGTCCCTACCTCCAAGTACCATCACATTGGGGATTAGGACTTTAACATATGAAATTTGAGGAGACCCAAACATTCAATCCAGAGCAAAGTTTCTTTGTGATCAATTTGTGAGGCAAATAAAAAGGTCACAAGACCACTTTTTATGTCTCATTTTCCCATCCCAGAAAGTGCCCTTATGCTCTCTCCCTCCATTAAAATCTATTCATTCTTTCAACAAGTATTTATTAAGAATCAATTTTGTGCCAGACACTATTCTTAGCTGTTGGGTGGTGAACAAAACAGACTAATACCCCTGTTCTCATGAAGTTTATAGTCTATTGGCAGGGAAACAGACAATATATAAAATAAATAATTGAAATATACATTATGTTAGATGATTGCAAGCAGGGAAGGGAAATAAGAAGTAATGACAGAAAGAAGACAGTAATTTTAAATGGGGTGGTGAAAAAGCCCTTATGAGATTAAGACTTAAAGAGAAAGACCTGAATAAGGAAAGGAAGGAATCTGTGAAGATACCTAAGAAAAGTGTTGCTGGCAGAGGCAATAACAAATGCAAAGATTACAAGGTACAAGTGAGGTTGGTGTGTTAAGGAGCAAGGTCAAGTGAGGTTGGTGTGTTAAGGAGCAAAGTAAGAACAGAGCAGAGTGAGGGGTAGCAGCAATATCAGATGAGGTCAGAGTAAACTGAGAATGGGTGTGCAGATCTTATGGAGCCTTTTTGGCCATTGTAAGAGCATAAAATTCTTCTCTGAGATGAGAATACATTAGATGATTTTAAGCAGAGAAATGATATGATGATTTAAGTTTTAACAGGATCACTCTGGCATGTTAGGAGAAAGAACTATGAGGAGTCTAGATGCAAGAAGTCCAGTTAGGAAGGTACTAAAACAATCCAGGGAAGAGATAATAGTATCTTGGATCTGGTAGAAAAGGGTGGGACGTGGGCAAATCTTGAAATATGTTAAGGATAAAGCCTATGATTTTTGCCAGGAGATTGTATATGGAGTGAGAGAGAAGGAAAAGAGTCAAGAATGACTCCAAGATTTCTGACCAGAGCAATAGGGAGATTAGAATTTGTATTTACTGAGATAGTGAAGACTGAATAAAGCAGGATTTAGGATGAAGCATAGATCAATAGTTCAATGTTGAAAATGTGAAGCCTGAGATGACTATTAGATATCTAACTGGAGATGTTAACTAGGAAGTTGGATATATGGCACAAATTTAGAGGGAAAGTCCCTTGAAGGAGATGTAAATTTGAGAATCATCAGTGTTTAGTTGATATTTAAAGCCATAAGACTGGATGAAATCAAGGGAGTGGAGATGATAGATAGATAGATAGATAGATAGATAGATAGATAGATAGACAGACAGATAAAAGAGATTTAAAGGCAGAAATCTGAAAAATTGACTTCTCGCATGACAGCATTAGTTGCTCTCCAGCGAAACTAGTAAAGATTATTTTTAAAAATGTTTAGACATCTGGAAATATTCCTAAAAGCAAAAAGCAAGTGAAGAAACATCTACTCAATAAAAGTTACAAAAATTAGGAAACAAAAATTGACTGTGGGCTGAAGGGCATGGGAAGAGCCATGCTGGGCTGTGCCTGTGAAGGTCGTGCCATGCTGTGAGGAAACTCCCATTTGTAACCCGTGGAATATACCAGAAAAGTTTTTCAAGGGGAAATTATCCAATTTTGTAACTTAATAGAGGAAACTGATGAAAAATAATAAAGATAGAAATCCATCATGGTCTAAGCAATATTTCAACACAAGTAGTCTTTACACCAGCTTCCCAAGAAAATGGTCCCTGGTTGGGTTTTAGTTTAATCAGTCACTGGTTTTTCCAGCTCCCAGTAGAGGTCTCAGGGCCAGAGTGGCCAGACCAGAGATGTGGAGGGGATCACATTTGACCAATGAGGAGGAAATATCACAGGGGAATCTTAAGAGTGGAAGTCGTCCTAGTGACTTAGGTGGTGATCCTGTGCCCAAAAGACAATTCTGTAAGAATAGTAGGATAAACCTAACCAAAGAGGTAAAAGATCTGTACTCTGAGAACTATAGAAAGCTTATGAAAGAAATTGAAGACACAAAGAAATGGAAAAACATTTCATGCTCATGGATTGGAAGAACAAATATTGTTAAAAGGTCGATACTACCCAAAACAATCTACACATTCACTGCAATCCCAATCAAAATAGCACCATCGTTCTTCACAGAACTAGAAAAAACACTCATAAAATTTGTATGGGACACATAAAAACCCAAGTAGCCAAGTAATATTGAAAAAGAAAACCAAAGCTGGAGGCATCACAAGTCCGGATTTCAAGCCGTATTACAAAGCTGTAATCATCAAGACAGTATGGTATTGGCACAAAAACAAATAGATCAATGGAATAGAATAGAGAACCCAGAAATGGACCCACAAATACATGGCCAACTAATCTTTGACAAAGCAGGAAAGGGTATCCAGTGGAAAAAGACAGTCTCTTTAGCAAATGGTGCTGGGAGAACTGGACAGCAACATGCAGAAGAATGAAACTGGACCCCTTTCTTACACCATCCATAAAAAAAATTCAAAATGGATGAAAAACATAAATGTGAGACAGGAAACCATCAAAATCCTACAGGAGAAAAAAAAAACTACAAGAGAAAACATGCAGTAACCTCATTGACCTCAGCTGCAGTAACTTCTTACTTGACATGTCTCTGAAGGCAAGGGAAATAAAAGCAAAAATGAATTACTGGGACCTCATCAAGATAAAAAGCTTCTGCACAGTGGAGGAAACAATCAACAAAACTAAAAGTCAACTGATGGAAATGGGAGAAGATATTTGCAAATGACATATTAGATAAAGGGTTAGTATCCAAAATCTATGAAGAATTTATCAAATTCAACACCCAAAAAACAAATAATCCAGTGAGGAAATGGGCAGAAGACATGAATAGACACTTTTCCAAAGAAGACATCCAGATGTTGAACAGACACATGAAAAGATGCTCAACGTCATTCATCATCAGGGAAATACAAATCAAAACCACAATGAGATCCACCTCACACTGCTCAGAGTGACTAAAACTAAAAATTCAGGAAACAACAGATGTTGCCACGGATGTGAAGTAAAAAACTTGGCAGGCAAGAAGGAGTGGCATGATATACACCAATGCTGAATGGGAAGAAATATGCAGCCAAGAACACTTTATCCAGCAAGGCTATCATTCAGAATAGAAGGAGATATAAAGAGTTTTCCTGACAAACAAACACTGAAGGAGTTCATGAATACTAAATCATCCCTGCAAGAAATAGTAAAGGGGACTTCTTGAGTACACTAGAAAGTAACAGAGAAAATATCCAGAAACAATGAAAAAAATGTAATAAAATGGCACTAAATTAATATTTATCAAAGATTACTTTTAGTGTAAATGGACTAAATGCTTTAATCAAAAGACATAGAATGTCAGAATGGATAGAAAAAAACAATACCTACTATATGCTGCCTACGAGGGACTCATTTTAGACCTAAAAACACCCGCAGATTGAAAGTGAGGGAATGTAGAAACATCTATCATGCAAATAGACATCAAAAGAAATCCAGAGTAGCAATACTTATATTTGACAAACTAAATTTTAAACCAAAAACTGTACCAAGAGTTGAAGAAGGGCACTTTATCAAAATGAAGGGGACTATCCAACAAGAAGATCTAACAATTGTAAATATTCATGTGCCCAACTTGAGTGAAATCAAATATATAAAACACTTAATAACAAACATAAAGGAAAACATGGATAATAATACAATAATAGTAGGGGACTTCAAAACCCACATATATCAATGGAAATGTCATTCAAATAGAAAATCAACAAGGAAACAATGGCTTTGAATGACACACCGAACCAGATATACTTAATAGATATATTCAAAATATTTCCTTCTAAAGCAACAGAATACATATTCTTTTCAAGTGCACATGGGACATTCTCTAGAATAGATCACATACGATGTCACAAATGAGGCCTCAACAAGTACAAAAAGATTGAGATCATACTGTGCATCTTTTCCATCCACAACACTATGAAACTTAAAGTCAACCACAAGAAAAACTTTGGAAAGCCCGCAAATGCACAGAGATTAAAGAACATCCTATTAAAGAATGAAGGAAATCAAAAGAGGAAATAAAAAAGTACATGGAAACAAATAAAAATGAAAACAGGATGGTCTGAAAGAAAGAAAGAAAGAAAGAAAGAAAGAAAGAAAGAAAAGAAAAGAAAAGGACAATGGTCCAAGAATTTTGGGATGCAGCAAAAGCAGTCCTCAGAGGGAGTATATAGTGATATGGGCTTACCTCAAGAAACAAGAAAAATCACAAATATCCTATCTTTACATCTAAAAGGAGCTAGAAAAAGAACAACAAATGAAGTGTAAAGCCAGCAGAAGAAGAGAAATAATAAATAATAGGGCAGAAATAAGTGATTTAGAAACAACAACAACAACAACAACAACAAAAACCAGTAGACCAGATCAATGAAATCGGGAGCTGGTTCTTTGAAAAAATTAATAAAATTGATAAACGCATAGCCAGACTTAACAAAAAGAAAAGAGAAAGGACCCAAATAAAATCACAATGAGAGAGGAGGAAGAACAAACAAAAACACAGAAATTCAAACAATTATGAGAGAATATTATGAAAAATCATATGCTAACAAACTAGGAAATCTAGAAGATATGGGTAAATTCCTAGAAATATATAAACTACCAAAACTGAAATGGAAAGAAATAGAAAACTTGAACAGACCAATAATCAGCAAAGAAATTGACTAAGTAATCAAAGAAATCTCCCAACAAACAAAAGTCCAGGGCCAGATGGCTTCACAGGGGAATTCTACCAAATCCTTAAATAACAGTTAGCACCTATTCTTCTTCAACTATTCCAAAAGACAGAAACAGGAGGAAAACTTCCAAACTCATTCTATGAGGCCAACATTACCCTGATTCCAAAACCAGAGAAAGCCTCCACTAAAAAGGCAACTACAGGCAGGTATCTCTAATGAACATGGGGCAAAAAAGTCTCAATAAAATACTAGAAAATTGGATACAACCATACATTAATAGAATTAATAGATTCATCATGATCAAGTGAAATTTATTCCTGGAGTGCAAGGGTGGTTCAGTATACACAAATCAATCAATGTGATACACCACATTAATAAAAAAAAAAGGATAACAGCCATATGATCCTCTCAATAGATTCAGAGAAACCATTTGACAAATTACAACATCCATTCTTGATGAAAACCCTCAATACAGTAGAAATAGAAGGAACATATCTCAACATCGTAAAGGCCATATACAAAAAACTCACAACTAATATCATCCTCAATGGGGAAAAAGTGAGAGCTTTTCCTCTATGGTCAGGAAATAGACCAGGATGTCCACACTCACCACAGTTATTTGCCATACTATTGGAAGTCCTAGCCTCAGCAATCAGACAACCAAAAGGAATAAAAGGCACCAAGTCAGCAAGGAAAAAGCAAGCTTTCACTATTTGCAGGTGACCTGATACTCTATATGGAAAACTCAAACGATTCCACCAAACAATTTTCTAGAACTGTTACACAAATTCAGTAGTCATAGGATACAAAATCAATCTGTAGAAATCTGTTATATTTCTATACACCAATAATGAAGCAGCAGAAATAGAAGTCAAGGAATCGATCCTATTTAATTGTACCAGAACCCTTAAGATACCAAGGAATAAACTTAACCAAAGAGGTAAAAGATCTCTACTCTGAAAACTATAAAATGCTGATGAAAAAATTTGAAAATGACACAAAAAAAAGTGGAAAAAAATCCCATTCCCATGGATGGGAAAAACAAATATGTTAAAATATCAATACTACCCAAAGCAACCTACACATTCAATGCAATCCCTATAAAAATACCAGGAGCATTTTTCACAGTGCTAGAACAAATGATCCTAAAATTTGTATGGAACCATAAAAGACCCCAAATAGACAAAGCAATCCTAAAAAAGAAAAGAAAAGAAAGCTAGAGGCATAACAATTCCCGACTTCTATTTACATTACAAAGCTGTGATCCAGACAGTATGGTGCTGTCACAAAAACAGACACATAGATCAATGGAACTCAGAACACTCAGAAAGGGACCCACAAGTATATGGTCAACTATCTTCAACAAGGCAGGAAAGGATTTCCAATGGAAAAAAAGTTTCTTCAACTAATGGTGTTGAAAAAACTGTACAGCAGTATGCAAAAGAATGAAACTTTCATACAGCATACACTTTCGTACACCATACACAAAAATAAAATCAAAATGGATGAAAGACCTATGTGTGAGACAGGAAACCATTAAAATCCTACAGGAGAACACATGCGGTAACCTCTTTGACATCAGTCATAGCAACGTGCTACTAGAAATACCTCTTGAGACAAGGGAAATAAAAGCGAAAATAAGCCATTAGGACTTCATCAAGATAAAAAGCTTCTGCACAGTGCCAGAAACAATCAACAAAAGTAAAAGGCAACCTACGGAATGGGAGAAGATATTTGCAACTGACATATCTGATAAAGGACTAGTATCCCAAATATATAAAGAGCTTATAAAACTCAACACCCAAAAGCCAAATAATCCAGTTAAAAAATGTCCACTTAAAATCCAGACATTTTTCTAAAGACATCCAGATGGCTAACAGACACATGAAAAGACACTCGACATCACTCATCATTCAGGAAATACAACTCAAAACTACACTAAGATATCACCTCAGACCTGTCACAATGGCTAAAATTAACAACACAGGAAACAACAGATTTGGTGATGATGTGGAGAAAGGGGAGTCCTCTTACACTGTTGGTGGGAATGCAGTCTGGAAAATAGTATGGAGCTTCCTCAAAAAGTTAAAAATAGAGCTACCCTGTGATCTAGCAATTGCACTACTAGGTAATTACAAAAATATTGATTCAAAGGGAAACATGCACCCTGATGTTTATAGCAGCATTACCATTGATAGCCAAATTTTTTAAATTTTTTTTTCAACGTTTATTTATTTTTGCGACAGAGAGAGACAGAGCATGAACAGGGGAGGGGCAGAGAGAGAGGGAGACACAGAATCGGAAACAGGCTCCAGGCTCTGAGCCATCAGCCCAGAGCCCGACGCGGGGCTCGAACTCACTGACCGCGAGATCGTGACCTGGCTGAAGTCAGATGCTTAACCGACTGCGCCACCCAGGCGCCCCGATAGCCAAATTTTTTAAAGAGCCCAATGTCTATCGACTGATAAATGGATAAAGAAGATGTGATGTATATATCTGTACAATGGAATTTTATTCAGCCATAAAAAATAATGAAATCTTGCTATTTGCAACAACATGGATGGAGCTAGGGAGTATTATGCTAAGCGAAATAAGTCAGAGAAAGGCAAATACCATATGATTTTACTCATGTGTGGAAAATAAGAAAAAAACGGATAAACATAGGGAAAAAAAAGAGAGGCAACGCATAAAACAGACTCTTAACTACAGAGAAAAAACTGAGTATTGCTGGTGGGAAGGTGGGCAGGGGATGGGTTAAATGGGTGATGGGTATTAAGGAGAGCAATTGTGTTGAGCACTGGCTGTTGAATATAAGTGATGAGTCACTAAATTCTACACCTGAAACTAATATTACACTGTAGGTTAACTAAGTGAAATTTAAATAAAACTTGAAAAAGAAAAAGAATAAATATATTTTTTAGAGCATTTTTAGGGTCCTAGTAAAATTGAGCAAAAGGTAAAGAGAGTTCCCATATATCCCCTGCCTTCACACAACACAATCTACGCCAGTATCAAAACCTCACCTAAGAGTGGTAAATTTATTACGGTCAATAAACCTACATTGACACATGCAAATTTCATACTTTATATTAAAACTCATACTATGGGTTTTGACAAATGTGTAATTAAATGTGTCCACCATTATACTATCATACAAAATAGCTTATTGCCCTAAATATCCTTTGTGCTTTGCCTATTCATCCCTTGCTCCTCTTCAACCCCCTAGCAACCACTGATCCTTTCACTGGGTCCATAGTTTTGCCTTTTCCAGAATGTCATAGGGTTGGAATTACACAGAATGTGGCCTTTTCATATGGGCTTCTTTCACTTAGTAATATACATTTGAGATTCCTCCGTGTCTTTTCATGTCTTGATAGCTCATTTCTTTTTAATAATACTGCATCGCATGGATGTACCACAGTTTATTCATTGATGCACCTAATAAAAACCATCTTTTTTGCTTCCAAATTTTGACAACTATGAATAAAGCTGCTATAAATATTTATGTGCAGGTTTTTTTAATATGAAATTTAATGTCAAATTGGTTTCCATACAACACCCAGTGCTCATCCCAACAGGTGCCCTCCCAATACCCATCACCCACCCTCCCCTCCCTCCCACCCCCCATCAACCCTCAGTTTGTTCTCAGTTTTTAAGAGTCTCTTATGTTTTGCCTCAATCCCTCTCTAACCTTTTTTTCCCCTTCCCCTCCCCATGGTCTTCTGTTAAGTTTCTCAGGATCCACATAAGAGTGAAAACATATGGTATCTGTCTTTCTCTGTATGACTTATTTCATTTAGCATAACACTCTCCAGTTCCATCCACGTTGCTACAAAAGACCATATTTCATTCTTTCTCATTGCCAAGTAGTATTTCATTGTGTATATAAACCACACTTTCTTTATCCATTCACCAGTTGATGGACATTTAGGCTCTTTCCATTTAGGCTATTGTTGAAAGTGCTGCTATAAACATTGGGGTACAAGTGCCCCTATGCATCAGCACTCCTGTATCCCTCGGATAAATTCCTAGCAGTGCTATTGCTGGCTTGTAGGGTAGATCTATTTTTAATTTTTTGAGGAACCTCCACACTGTTTTCCAGAGCAACTGCACCAGTTTGCATTCCCACCAACAGTGCAAGAGGGTTCCCGTTTCTCCACATCCTCGCCAGCATCTATAGTCTCCTGATTTGTTCACTTTAGCCAATCTGACAGGTGTGAGGTGGTATCTCAGTGTGGTTTTGATTTGTATTTCCCTGATGAGGAGTGTCGTTGAGCATCTTTTCATGTGCCTGTTGGCCATCTGGATGTGTGCTTTGGAAAAGTGTCTATTCATGTCTTCTGCCCATTTCTTCACAGGATTATTTGTTTTTCAGGTGTGGAGTTTGGTGAGCTCTTTATAGATTTTGGATACTAGCCCTTTGTCCGATATGTCATTTGCAAATATCTTTTCCCATTCCGTTGGTTGTCTTTTAGTTTGTTGATTGTTTCCATTGCAGTGCATAAGCTTTTTATCTTCATGAGGTTCCAATAGTTCATTTTTGCTTTTAATTCCCTTGCCTTTGGGGATGTGTCAAGTAAGAAATTGCTGCGGCTGAGGTCAGAGAGGTTTTTTTCTGCTTTCTCCTCTAGGGTTTGATGGTTTCCTGTCTCACATTCAGGTCCTTTATCCATTTTGAGTTTATTTTTGTGAATGGTGTGAGAAAGTGGTCTAGTTTCAATCTTCTGCATGTTGCTGTCCAGTTCTCCCAGCACCATTTGTTAAAGAGACTGTCTTTTTTCCATTGGATGTTCTTTCCTGCTTTGTCAAAGATTAGTTGGCCATAAGTTTGTGGGTCTAATTGTGGGGTTTCTATTCTATTCCATTGGCCTATGTGTCTGTTTTTGTGCCAATACGATGCTGTCTTGATGATAACAGCTTGGTAGTAGAGGCTAAAGTCTGGGATTGTGATGCCTCGTGCTTTGGTCTTCTTCTTCAAAATTACTTTGGCTATTCGGGGCCTTTTGTGGTTCCATACGAATTTTAGGATTGCTTGTTCTAGCTTCGAGAGAATACTGGTGCAATTTTGATTGGGATTGCATTGACCATGTAGATAGCTTCAGGTAGTATTGATATTTTAACAATATGTATTCTTCCAATCCATGAGCACGGAATGTTTTCCCATTTTTTTATATCTTTTTCACTTTCCTTCATAAGCTTTCTACACTTTTCAGCATACAGATCTTTTACATCTTTGGTTAGGTCTATTCCTAGGTATTTTATGCTTCTTGGTGCAATTGTGAATGGGATCAGTTTCTTTATTTGTCTTTCTGTTGCTTCATTATTAGTTTATAAGAATGCAACTGATTTCTGTACATTGATTTTGTATTCTGCAACTTTGCTAAATTCATGTATCAGTTCTAGCAGACTTCTGTTGGAGTCTATCGGATTTTCCATGTATAATATCATGTCATCTGCAAAAAGTGAAAGCTTGACTTCATCTTTGCCAATTTGGATGCCTTTGATTTCCTTTTCTTGTCTTATTGCTGATGCTAGCACTTCCAACACTGTGTTAAACAACAGCGGTGAGAGTGGACATCCCTGTCGTGTTCCTGGTCTCAGAGGGAAAGCTCTTAGTTTTCCCCCATTGAGAATGATATTAGCTGTGGGATTTTCACACATGGCTTTGATGATGTTTAATATGTTCCTTGTATCCCGACTTTCTCGAGGGTTTT